CCGCTGCCAGCTCCACCTGGATGGCACACTCTATGCCCGCACCACGGCCAAAGCAGCTGGTCCCGGTGGCGAGCTCTTCTGGGGCGAGCTCTTCCAGCTGGCTGCCCTGCCCCCCCCCCACACCCTCACCCTGGCCCTGTGCCGTGAGGACGACGGGCGTCCCCGTGAACCCCTGGCCTCTGTCACTGTCCCCTTGAGCGAGCTGGCGGCCGCCACGCGGCAGCCCCTGGAGCGCTGGTATCCATTGAGCAGCCCTGGGCACCCATCGGGCCGTGAGCGGGCACCAGCTGTGAGGGTCCGTGGGCGCTACCAGGAGGTGCGGGTGCTGCCCATCGTGCGCTACAAGGAGCTGGCCGAGTTCATCACCTTCCACTACCGGGAGCTGTGCGCCCTCCTGGAGCCTGTCATCGCCGTGCGGCACAAGGAGGAGCTGGCTGGTGCCCTGGTCCGTGTCCTGCAGAGCACTGGCAAGGCTAAGGTAAACAAGGAGCTGTCTGGGGTGCTGTGGGCACAGCCTGGGGTGCCAAGGGCATGGTGGGTTTGGGGTGAGATGGACATTTCCTGGGGTGGCATGAGCATGGTGAGTTGGGGTGAGATGGGCGTTGCCCAGGGTTAGATGGGCATGGTGGGTATGGTGGATTGGGATGAGTTGGACATAGCCTGGGGTGGCATAAGCATGGTGGGTCGTGATGAGATGGGCATTTCCTGGGGTGAGATGGCCATGGTGGGTTGGGGTAGGATGGAGGTGAGATGGGCTCTGTTTGGCTGGTTGTGCATGGACACAGCAGGTTGGGGGTACCAGGAGAGCCAGGCATCATCCAGGCAGGGATGCTTTGGGATGGGAAAGGTGATTTAGGGGGCGTCAGAAGAGCTGGAACTGCCCATATGAGTTTGAGATGGGATGGGATGGGTTGGCACAGCATGGCATGGCATGGAAGAGTCATGGGTGCCAGGAAAGCTGGGCACTGCCCAGGTGGCGATGGGTTGGGATGGGTTAGGATGGGATGGGATGGGAGGGGATGGGATGGAAAAGGTGATTTGGGGAGTGCCACAAGAGCTGGAACTGCCCAGACAAGTTTTGGATTGGATGGGATGAGATGGGTGGAACAGGTTGCAGTGGCATGGATGAGTCATGGTTGCCAGGGGAGCCTGGCATGGCCCAGGTGGAGATGGGACAGGTTGGGATGGGATGGGATGGGATAAGAGGGAATGGGATCAGATGGGATGTGAAAGGCAGTTCAGGAGGTCCCAGCAGAGCCAGAAACTGTCTAGGCTGTACTGGGCAAGGTAGTTTGGGGCCACTAGGTGCCCCCCAAGCCCACGAATGCCGTCTGCCCCACAGGCCTTCCTCATTGACCTCGGCGTGGCTGAGCTGGACCGCTTCGACGACCGTGAGGCACTCATCTTCCGTGAGAATACGCTGGCCACCAAGGCTATTGACGAGTACATGAAACTGGTGGGGGGCAAGTACCTCCAGGACACACTGGGTACGGGGCTTTTCAGGTCATTAGGGGTTGTTAGGGAGTGCAGGAGATGGGGCATGTCCAGGGCATTGCAGGGTGCTATGGGGGGTTATAGCGTGCTGGATCACATCCACGGGGATGTGATGTGGGGGCTCGTGGCCTGTGGCAGTGGCCAAGTGGTGTCCTCATGGGCTGTCCCTGCGGCATCCAGGTGAGGCCGTGGCCCAGCTCTGCACCTCAGACGATAGCTGCGAAGTCGATCCCAGCAAATGTGCCGGCCCTGACCTCTCCGACAACCAGAACAACCTACGGCAGGTCTGCGAGGAGACCTTCCAGCGCATCGCTGCGTCCTGCGAGTGAGGGCTGCGCTATGCACCGGCATGGGGATGGGCTTGGGCACAGGCTTGAGGATGGCACTGGAATGGGCAATGGGACAGACACAGGGACGAGCTTGGAGGTTGGCACCAGGACAGTGATTGGGATGGGTCTCAACACAGGGATAAGCATGGGGACAAGCATGGAGACATCCCCTACATGCCATGGCCCGGTCATGGGGCAGCAGGGCCATCTCCTACATGGGCATGGGGTCAGGCACAGGGAAGGCAATGGGACAGGCATGGAGATGGTCTTGGGGATGGTCACCAGATGGTCATGGGGACGGGCACTGGCACCAGGACAGGCTTGGGGACAGGCACCAGCACCAGGATGGGCACAGGGATGGGCCGGGGACAAGAACTACAGCCAGAATGGGCACAAGGACAGGGTTGGGGACGGACACCAGCACAGGGACCGGCTTGTGGATGGACAGCAGCACTAGGACAGGCATGGGGACATGCACCAGTGCCAAGAAGGACCTGAGGACAAGCTTGGAGGCAGGCACAGGGGACAGACACGGGGATGGGCACAGACATCTCATGGTAGGGTGGGCACTGCAGCACACAGAGGGGCTTCGGGGACACGTGCAGCCCCAGCACCCCTCATGGCATTGCTCCCCACAGTGCTTTCCCAGCGGAGCTGGGCGAGATCTTTGCGGCATGGCAGGAGGAGTGCGCAGCGCGGGGCAAGGAGAGCATCGGGCAGCGCCTGGTCTCGGCCTCCCTCTTCCTGCGGTTCCTGTGTCCTGCCGTCATGTCGCCCAGCCTCTTTGGCCTTGTCCAGGAGTACCCGAGCGAGGCCACCGCTCGCACCCTCACCCTCGTGGCCAAGGTCATCCAGAACCTGGCCAACTTCACTACGTACGTCCCAGCATGGCACTGGTGGGGAGGGATACCCGAAGTGCCTGCCATAACGGGGCTGGGCACACCATGGACCAACATGGGACAGCAAGGATGTCCCCTATGTTCCATGGGGCAGACAGGATGTCCCTGATGTGCCATGGAGCATCATGGACTTCTCCACTCCATGCATGGGGCTGGCATGTTCTCACCAGCAGAGCCTTGTGTGTGAATTGTGGTGTCCTGGCCTGTGGGCATGGTAGTAGCCTGGTCCAAGGACATGGCAGTGTCCTAGCCCATGTCCTGGCCCATGGGATGGTGGTGGCCTGGTCCAAGCACATGGCAGTGCCTTGGCTCATGGTCAGGGAGTTGGCTTGGCCTGTGGCCACGGTGGTGGCTCAGGTCGCGGCTGTGGCAGCACCTTGGCCCATGGCCTGGCCTGCAGGTGACCAAGCACCACGGTCCCCAGGTTTGGTGAGAAGGAGGCCTACATGGGCTTCATGAACGAATTCCTGGAGCACAACTGGAGCACCATGATGGCCTTCCTGCAGAGCGTGGCCAATCCCGAGAGCAGCGCCCACATGGCCACTTATGATGGCTATGTGGACCTGGCCCTGGAGCTTGCCACCCTCCACCTCCTGCTCTGTGACATCTTCTCTGGCCTGGACCAGGTGCCACTATTTGCATGTCCCCAGGGGTGGCTGGCCAGACCAACTGGCTCCTTTTCCTCTGGGTGCAGAGCTGGGCACCCAATGACCACAAATGGTGCCTACCTCTGGCCACCTGCCAGCCCCATAACAGCCCCATCTTGCCCCGGCAGGCCACACAGGAGGAGCTGGAGCCCCTGCCTACCATCCTCACTGCCATCAGGGAGGGCACCCCTGTCCCCGTCTCTGTCCGGCTCAGCTCTACCACGGAGCGAAGGTACTGGTGGGGGGACACACAGGGCCTGAGGGATGTGCAGGGACAGGGGAATCTGGAGGGGCTTGGGTATGGGTAACACTAGGATGGGTTTGGGGATGGTTCTGGTTCTAGGTGGGTTCAGGGGATGGTTCTGGTGCTGGCTGGGTCTGGGGTGACTCTGACCCCAGCTGGGTTCAGGGGATAGTTCAGGTCACATTTGGGTTCAGGGGATGGTTCTGGTAATGGTTGGATCTGGGGTGACTCTAGTCCCATTTGGGTTCAGAAGATGATTCTGGTCCCACCTGGGTCTGTTTTCCCCCGGGGCCTGCCTGTGCTACCCTCTGCCTGCCCATGCAGTCTGGCGGAGGGCTCCAAGCCAGGCTTTGTGCCGCCGCGGGACCTGAGCAAGCACAGTCCCCTCATCAAGAGCCAGTCGCTCATCAGCATCCGCCGTGTCCGGAGCCGGGAAGATGGACCAGAACCTGAGCCAGCGCCGGACCCGTCTCCACGGCCAGCCCGGGAGCGCAGGAACGTGCAGCGCACCCAGAGCGTGCCAGCGCAGAACAAAGCCGCCCGGCGTCTGCGCAAGCAGAGCAGCGCCGAGCACGTGGCTGAGCCACCGGGTGACGATGCCTCGGGTCCCTCTGTCCCCCGTGACACCCCGGTAAGGGACCACCACCAAGATGGCATGCACCCAAGGGTGGCCAAGCCGGGCAGGCTCTGACGGGTGCTGCCCTCCTAGGGCCGCTCAAAGCTGCGGCTGGCGCCCTCCA